CTGACGGGGAAATATTGGAACCTTAGGTTGTGCAAAAGATCTACGGGGCATATCGCGCTCTCGAAGATATTCCACAGGTACGAGTTGAACGAACAAATGTTAACTGAATATAATGTCACTCAGGACGTCATGACATTGTACTGTGACAATATTAGTGCTATCAATATTTCCAAGAACCCAATCCAGCATAGCAGAACTAAGCACATTGATATAAGACATCACTTCATAAGAGACCTTGTGGAAGACAAAGTGATTTCCTTGGAACGTGTGTCTACTGAACTACAGCTAGCTAACATTTTCACAAAGGCTCTAGATGCTGCTCAATTTGAAAATCTAAGAGGAAAGTTGGGTTTTTGCATGTATGAGAACACATAGAAATTAATGGCACGTGAGAGTTTTAAAACTTCAATGCAGTCCACATCTTTGACCATTAAAGCTTTCTATTCCATACACATGTGCTCTCTCACAGTGTGTACGTATTTCTCCGCCTCCCTCACTCTCCAACATCTCTCTCAGACCTTCATTCTCGACAACATGTCTTCCCATCACGAAGGATCTTCATCTAAGACCCCTCCCAAATCCTCCAAAGAGATTCCTCCCTTTGCTGAAAAACCAAAGCGCAAATATCCTCCTCTCACTGCTGAAGAACTTAGGAGTATTAGAAACAAGGAAGGCTCGACATACATGGACAAATCCATGGGGGAAATTGTTGACGATATCATCAAGAGAGGGTTGCCTGTTAAGGGCTTCACCATTCCCCTGGCTCGCAAGGATCCACCTCACGATTCTGATATGCCAGAGGAAGACTTTTATGACGGAAACCAGGATATCTCTCTATCCGATTTGGATGACAGTGACTCCAGCTCTTCCTCTGATGAAGAAGATTGAGGTGATAACTTGTTATATGACTCATGCTGATGGTTGTTGTGCTGCTGGTGTCGCGGTGAAATTTGGATACCAAACTATTAATTAGTTTGAATTGTTATTCATTTGCAACCGAACTTTGATTTGTCCAAAGGAAGGGATAAAGATCGAAATTCCCACAATGCAATGCAAATGCAAGCTAGATTGTTTAGGTTCGGGGGTTGGTTAAACTTAGGGAAGGTACTAGCATCCTAAGTTTCTGTAGTACTCTACAGGAACCTCTTGTTTTATGTTTGTTTATTGTTATGTGTTTATCTGCTTAAGGTTAAAAACCTAGGGGTTTATTTCTAAGTATACTCGATAAGATGTCGCATCTTATGCCTACATATCCTTACGGGAGTGGAATCAGAGTACTTGTAGTTCCCCTAAAGAGTTAGAGGAGCTCTTTGATTGTGGTCAAAGTTCCTACGGGTTTAGGGTAGTTGTTTTGATTGAGTTTAGGAGAAGAGATGAGTCTTCATTTTAAGGGAGATATAACCGCCACAAGTGTAAGAGGTTGTAGGAAAATAGTCTTTGCATCATCTTAAGAAAAAGGCTTAAGTACTCAGATTGTTTGACGAGTATGCCTTTATCGCTCTTAAGGCAAAGTTCTTACATGTTTGATTGTATTATTGTGGGGGTGGAGATTATATCTCACTTAAGATGATTAACATCTATTCTCTAATGTGTTTGAAAGAGTTGTATTGTGTTGATTGTTTTGTCTAAGTTGTAAAGATTAAGGTCCTTCCTATGGGGTAGGTCCTAAACTTAAGCGATCAACTTGAATGGGATCAAGGATCGTGGGGAGAATGATGCAGATGATGTGCACTACACACAAGTGTTGACTCATGTGTAGGTTTTTCCTTTGGACGGAACGCGATGCGATAAATGTAAATGCGGTAATGTAAATTGCAAAACAATAAATTCATACACACGCATGAAAGCACTAAGGTGTAAGTGTGAGTGTCATGATTGTGCGCGGTTGAATTAGGAGAAGTTGAATTGATCTATGAGGAAATTGATTTAAGGGAGAGATTGTTTTTTAGAGGAATGTTGAGTTTATTTTAGTGAGAATTTGGTTTTTAGGACGTTATGATTATTTATAAGGAGGTTAATTTTTTATAAAAAAAGTTGTTTACGGGTTTTAATAAAAGATTAGATTGATGGAGTGGCGAATTGATTAAGTTCCTAAAGATTGATAATAGTTAAAAAAAGAAGGGGTAGGTTGTTTATCGAATTAAAAATATTATGTTTAGATTATTATAAAGAAAGATTGTTATTATTAAAAAGGTTCTATTATTTCAATAATTCCTTAGTTGCAAGTTAGTAAAAAAGAGTTTTGAATAATTATTGCATTGCTTAATAAATTAATAAAAATAAAAAGATAAACTAGAGAAAATGTGATTTAAATAAGTTAGGTAATTATAAAAAGTCATCAGGTTTTTTTTTTATTTATAAAAAAAGTTTAATTTAGAATTATTAGATTAATTAGGTAATAAAAAAAGAGTCAACTTATTAAAAGGGATTAATGGTTTGTTAAATAAAATTATTAAGTTTTTTTTTAATGAATTAAATAAAAGGTTAATTAGTCAGATTGTGGTTAAATGATGTTAATAAAAAGATTAGTGGAGAGATTAAGGGATTACGTGTGTGTTTAGTGAGTGTGGTGGGTGATTAGTATGATTATAATTATTACATCAGATTTAATAAAAATAGAAAACCCTAATATCCCAGATCTTCCCCAATTCGTCCTCTCTCCCATCTTCGATTTCGCGATTCTCCTTCGAGCCTCCTCTTTCTCTTCTTCTCGCGTCTTCTCCGATCCTCTCCGATTGCTACTCTCTCTTCTTTTTCGTTTTCATCTTAATCCGAAGCTCTCGTTTTTCGCCCTTCCTTTCTTTCTTCCTTGTCCTTTTTCACCAGACCTGTCCAACAACAACAAACATCAACTATGAAGTGGAAATGTTAAGTGAGGAAAGCGTTACCCATGATGGAGATGACGATGGTTCCTCCGGTGGGTTGTGGTGGTATGACGGTTTTGCGGCGTCGATGACAGCTTGAAAGGAGGTGGTTCACGGTGATTCGCGTCTGGATTGAGGTTCGCGATGGAAATGGTTCGGACGATTAAGATAAGCCTCTTATGATTTTAGGTTTCATATCGGTTTTCGATTTGGGATTATTGTGTTTCTGAGAATGGTTGCGAGTTGTGGATGGTTGTGAAATTGTCCTTCTTCTCTTTCTCCCTCATTCTCCTTTTATAGGTCTCGATTGAGATTTCCTGTGTTAAAGTCTAATTGAAATGGTTTGAATGCTGATTGAATCTTCCAATTTGGTCTAAAGAGTTTTTTAAAATCTTTCCCTTTTCGGTGACCGTAATAATATGAGTGTTAATTGAAATCCCCAAATTCTGATTTTGTGTATCAATCGTTTGCTTCTGAATCTTCCAATTATTCCACGAATATTCTCTTAATCAGTTATTCTCCCAAACTATTACTAATTTGTGTTTGATATTTGACAGGTGTGAATATTGAAGGAGTTGGGCCAGGGGAGAAATATGCAGTCCAGAGTAAATACGGTAACGAAACCGGTGATCCCAAAGCTTCAGTGTTGGTAGTAGTCCTGAATTTTGAAAATTCCTTTACGTAAGTTCAATTGTTTATTATCTTTGTTTCTTCGGTGTTAGGACTGAGTAATATACTGTGACCTTCAGATGCGGACACAAGCTTTCCGTAATCTTGTAGCAGCTGTCTTAACGTCTTAGAGTGGTTTCTTGCTAGCTATGGCATAACGAAGTTGGTGATACAAATTGAGAACAATGCTACATACCAGTGGAGTTACAAGAGGGCTGAATAACATGAGAATATGGAATACTTCATCTTGGATTTAAACTCAGCAATCTAGGGTGATGGTGAAAGGGAGGCCTTCCCAACTCAACAGCGGAATTAATCAAAGTTGATGCAAAGAAAAAAGGCACATCTTCATCAAATGTTAGTGTATTTGATTTAGGATTCATTCTTATATGCTCAGCAACATTCGATAAAGAGCGCAAGTCGTGAGCTGCAATTCTTGTGGATTACTCTCCTTTGGTTCCTGCTTGATGAACTATACGGAAGTAAGTATTCACTATAGTGCAGATGTGTTGGTTATTAAGTATTACAGATTGCTTTACTTTTCACTCAAGTCAATAAAACTTGTAACATCTTCATTAATACCACTTCTTCTAATCCTTTGACTCAAACAAATTTCTGAGCCTCGTAGTATGCTACGCCGGTAGGGAAAGTCAATGACGTTGTTCTCTATTGTTTACAGGATTCGTTGAGCAGAAGCGGATTCGCGTTCTTCCGTTTGCAACGGTGTGTTTCAAGCTTAGGCAGCAAGCAGGCATTTGGCTGAGGTTAAAATGCAGGTTGGATTTCAACGCACAACCAAGAACGTTATCGTGTGATTTGCCTTGGTTGCAATGGATTCTGATTTAACTCGAAATTGCGCAGGGATAACTGCCGCCACAACCATGCTGAAGTTGACGACACTATGAGATATTAGAAGGTTTAAAAGGCCAATGTTGTGTATGTCGGGCGAGACCTCAAAACCTGAGACTTTCCAGCTTCGGTTTAGATAAAACTCTGCTCAAGTAAAGTATTGGAAATCAGGATGGCAAACTTGCAACTGCTTAATCCAATTGTGAGCAGCTCGCAGCAGAGAAATGGATTTCTGACCTTCAAAATCCCCTTCAGGATCCCAGACAGGAACATCAAACTTTTGAAAGGCAAGGCCAAATATTGGTAGTGATAGCTTTAATGATATGTCCATATCTTTTGAACAATTTTATGGTAGTTGTGGTCTGAATCCATACTGTTTGTGGTTCCGTTTAATGGTTATTCCCTTGGTCTGACTGTGATGCTGATATGCAGGTGGAAGAAGTTGAGGAATGTACTGCTATTCCGGTTGAGCTTAGTTGCTGCAGAATTCAAGATCTCTAACCGGGACGGCTTATGTCCTTATCAATAATCATTGCTTACGTTTAAAATGATTTTGTTCGTAACGGTGGGATTCAGATTTTGCCGTTATGTTAATGTATTGTTGCATTTTTCAGGGTCATGAACTTTGAAGCTGCTCCTGCAGTGCCGTCACAAAAGAATCCCCAAAATCCTTACATGTGGGAGGAACAGAAAGCTAAACATCCTCCGAGTCTGCTTTGGCGTACCCCAGCTTCAGAGAGATGCTTAGTGGTAATATTGGATAGGAGTGCACAGTTACCAATGCTTCCTTTTTCCTGTAGCATTAGAAGTTTTGATGGTAATTAATATAAGGTTGATCATGATTCTGGCAGGTCGACGGCGTACGATTGATGATCACTTGTTGTCGGTAAAACAATTCCAAGACATCTTTTCATCATTGGTTAGCATGCCGTTACTTCCTGCTGGGATAAGTCTAATAATGAATGGTTGTTGGTATCATCTTGTTTTAATTATTATTTGCAGTATCTGGATACTTGGACAAGACACCCATCCGGAAACCGTGTTTGGAACGACCTCTGAGACGGTATTTTTGTTCATCTGTCAGTTGAAAGCTAGAGGTATTATAATGAATCGTGCAGACCATGGCTCTTCTGTATCTGTGGTATCTCAGACGGTGCGCATGACGACCATTGCAGCTCTGGCATCAAGCCTAAAATTGGCTCTTCCAAAGGAGGATAAAGGATCAGTAACCAATCCTAGCAACAATAGTGAGTCTCTTCATCTGTTGGATAACAGGATTGCTTGTCATCAACCATCACTGCACTATCTGTAGCATCAATACAAGGAGGACTGTGCTGGTCGAGTAGATTGGGGGATGTCATCTCTTAAGTCTATTGATGAAATATTGGGCAAACAGTGTATATTAAATTGGCAATCCCTATTTATGGAATTTCCAGGTTCACGTGGGAATTGTTCCTTGAACTCAGAAGAACTTGCTTCATGATGAGTAGTAATGTAATATGGCTCTGAATAGCATGTTTATTTATTCTTTGTAATTACACCACCTGCTTGTAATTTTTGTGTACTCTTGAAAGATATCTTTTATAAATATAACTTGGGCACAAATCTTGAATGTGGAATGAAGCTTCTCTTTATAATAATAAACCAATTCAAAGCCTTATTCGAACATTTAGCACCGAAGATCCGAAATTTCTCGCTTGAGTTTAATGGTGATAACCCCTCTTTTTGAATAAGATCAAAAACCTTTCTTGAATCAAACTTCGATCCTATTTGCATTTTTGCACCTTGTTCAACATTTTAATCTCAATAAATCACGAAAGAATCAACTGGTTAAATCCTCGAGCATTATCTTCATGTGAGATTAATGTGCCTGCAAAAAAACGCACTCCTAATAGTAATAAAGATAAATAGAAAATAAATAAATAAAAGGGAGGCGGAATCTTATAGTAAAAAATTAGGGTTAATTGTATATATGCCCATTATATTTATATATTTTATCGGGTTAATTGTGACTATACATATACTTTTGATACATATGATATTATTTCATATTGTTTTGTTAAAAATGTTAAAAGTTTAGTTTAAAAAACACCAATGTTTATCGAATTTTCTAAAAATTTAGAAAATTTGTTATGGAACAGATTTTTCAATATATTTGATATCAAGTAGTGCACCGAATTTTTTTTAAAAATTCGATAGTTGAGAAAACAATTTTGTAAAAACCTTTTTCCTGCCATAATTTTTTAAAAAAAATCTGATATAATTGCATTGGTATTTAAAAAATTCAATATTTCTTTGTACATTTTTCAGAAAACAATACATTTTTATCAAATATTTTAAAATAATCATATTTCTTTACAAAAACTCGTAAACTCCAGTGCTTTTATCAAAAGTCCGGTATAAATTCATTAAAAAAAATTCCATGAAACTAAAATTTACGATATTATATGAAGAAATCCGGTAATATACAACAGTTTTTAAAAAAATGGAAAAATTAAACAAGAGAATTTTAGGAGATGCTAGGTAACAACAGAGGTGGCAAGATAAAATCTTGTGAAATTGAATATTTATTTCGAAGCCCAATAGGCAATGATAAACTTTTTAAAGCCCAAACCATTTTATTCAAACACAAAGTTTTATTTATTTATTCTAAAACATGAATCATCAAGCAAAAACCCTTACCGCGAGCAGAGAGTAACGAACACACCGAGGAGAGGAAGATGATTATCCCCGTTCGCTGTTTCACCTGCGGAAAGGTTTCTACTCATCCCAATATACTCTTCCTTCCACTTTTTGCCGCATCTAATCGATTATAGCTCTTAAGTTGGGACCTTTTCAACGGTTTTAAAATTTAGGGTTCTGGTTAATTCATGCTAAATTCGTTTTGTTTTCTTCTCATTAGGTCATTGGAAACAAATGGGATTCATATCTCGACTTTCTCCAGGCTGATTATACAGAAGGGTCGGTGCTCTACTCTCTCTCTTTTCCTATTTAGTTTTTTTTTTTTTCATTTGTTGAATCCATGTGTACAATTTATTTTTTGTTTTTTTAATCTGAATAAGGTATTGTAGTGACATATAATTTTAGGGTTTTTTCTTGTTAATTATTTGTCTGAATTGCTTTTTCTTTATAGGAAATTGATTATGTTACTTGGGAACTTTTTGTTGGATTAATATGTCATTATTTGCATTGAATTAATAATTAGCAGAATAATAAATATTGTTAGTGGGCTCCTAGTTTTAAGCTTTAGTTGTTAGAGTCATGCCTTTGATTGAGTCATGCCTATTTATTAGGAATAGCAGTTTCTACAGCTTGCAGTTACTACATCTTATGTATTTAAAGGTTGTTTCAATTCAATAAACATTATCTAGTTTTTCTCTGTTAACAATCTGGCATCAGAGCTTTAGGAAAACTTTCGATCATTGAATGAATCTGGGTTTGGGAAACACATAGTGAGAGTGAGAGTTCTCTCTGGTGAGTGGAAACACAAGAGTGTGTGAGGATCAATTTAGTGTGATCATGGGTGATGAAAACTTTGCAAGGGCGTGCATTCCCAAATTCGACGGCGACTACGATCATTGGAGTCTTCTGATGGAGAATCTATTACGGTCAAAGGAATATTGGACTGTGGTGGACATAGGGTTTACAGAAACTGCTTCTGGTGTGGCATTGTCTGCTGATGCAAAGAAGACCCATGAAGAAATGAGGCTAAAGGACTTCAAGGCCAAGAATTATTTATTTAGCAGTATTGATAAGACGATATTGAAGACAATATCTCAAAAGGCAACTGCTAAAGAGTTATGGGATTCCATGAAGACGAAGTTCCAAGGAAGTGCTCGTGTAAAGAGGGCACAGTTGCAAGCTCTCAGACGAGAGTTTGAAGTGCTGGAAATGAAAGAAGGGGAATCGATCAACGATTACTTTGGGAGAGTGATGGTTGTTTCTAATGCCATGCGCAACTGCGGAGAGCTGATGACGGATGTGAAAATCGTAGAGAAAATCTTAAGGACTCTCACTGAGCGATTCAATTATGTTGTCTGCTCGATCGAGGAGTCTCATGATATTGATGTCATGACTGTTGATCAATTGCAGAGTTCACTTCTTGTACATGAACAAAAGTTTACAAGGAATGTGTCTCTTGAAGATCAAGCCTTGAAGGTTGGATTTGATGCGAGTCGAGGCCGTGGACGTGGGAGAAGTGGCCATCCAGGACGAGGCAGAGGTCGAGGTCAATTCTGGAATAGAGAAATGGTGGAGTGCTATGGTTGTCACAAGTTAGGACATTTCAAGAATGAATGTCCTGAAAGGACCTATCAGGTTCATTACACTGATAGCCATGATACAATACATGAGGAGATGCTTCTTATGGCATCCGTTGATTCTGATGTGGTAGAGTTTAACAACTTTAAGACTTTTCATGCTTCGACCGATAAAGATGAATCATGGTGGTTCCTTGACTCGGGGTGTAGTAATCATATGAGTGGAGATATGAAGTGGTTCTCTAGCCTTGACCGTTCCTTCACCTGCATTGTAAAGCTAGGGAATGGTATGAGACTACAAGTCAAAGGAAAAGGGAGTATCAATATGCATGTTAATCATATTCCATTGAAGGTACAAGATGTTTTTTTGTCCCTGGATTGACTAACAACCTGCTTAGCATGGGTCAAATGCTCGAAAAGGACCTAGTTTTTCTTCTCAAGGATAATTCTTGTAAGGTATTTCATAGTACAAAGGGATTTCTTTTCCAAACTCAAATGAAGAGCAACAGGATGTTTATTTTACATGCTACTCCTCAAGTTGCATCTGACTCAGGAGAAGTACATTGTTCGAACACCACCGAAGCTGGAAAGAACGATTTGAACTTATGGCATAGGAGATTTGACCACCTTCACCATCAAGGGTTGGAGACGCTTCAGAAGTCAGAAATGGTAAAGGGTCTACTGAAGATTAAGGCTCGGGATGGAGATGGAGCGTGCACTATATGTTTGGTGGGAAAACAGCACCGAAAATCATTTCCGAAGAAAAGCTTATGGCACGCCACCAAAAGACTTCAGCTTATACATGCTGACTTGTGCGGACCGATCACCCCATCTTCTCAAAGTGGTAACAGGTATATCTTCACTCTGATAGATGACTTTAGCAGAAAATTATGGGTTTACTTCTTGAAATCCAAATCAGAGGCATTTGGTGTATTTAAAAAATTCAAAGCTCAAGTTGAAAAGGAGTCCAGTGATGTGATTGTGAGCTTAAGAACAGATAGGGGAGGAGAGTTCCTATCCACTGAGTTCAAACTGTTTTGTGAAGAGCATGGAATAAGGAGGCAACTAACTGCAGCTCTAACACCCCAACAAAACGGAGTTGCCGAGCGAAAAAACAGAACTTTACTAAATATGGTGAGATGTATGCTAGCTGACACAAAAGTTCCAAGCACATTCTGGTGTGAAGCAGTTAATTGGGCAGCTTATGTGCTAAACAGAAGCCCCACAACTATTTGTAAAGATAAAACTCCACAAGAGCTTTGGAGTGGATTTCCGCCTGCAGTAGATCACTTGAGAGTATTTGGCTGTATGAGCTATGTCCATGTACCTGATCAACAAAGAAAGAAACTAGATGATAGAAGTATCAAGTGTGTATTCTTGGGAGTATCCCATGAATCCAAAGCCTATAGAGTCTATAATCCAATGTCTCAAACAGTTTCACAAGTGCTTATGCAAGTAGATAAGCTCAAATAAGGTATTTGAAACCGATCCTTAGTTTCACAATTTTTTTGGCTACCATTTGGTATGCTTTGGTTATGATCATGATTTTGTGTCTAATCCTAGACTCCTTTTGTTGTAGCACGATTGTTAGTGTCTTCTGTTTCAAAGTTGTTTGTATGAACACATAATCAATTGACGTGTTTCCTTGTAGTTGCACTTTGTGTAATAGGTTCCGAGGACAAGCACGATAACTTTAAATTATAGTTTTTTAACTTATTGAAAGGGTGAGGGTAAACCAATCTGTGCTTATGATTCTCTTGTTCCGAAATTATTGGCTTGTCTTAGCTGTGCAATATTTGAAGTTGTAACTCAGTGGTCTCAAGTCATAATTTTAATTGGTGGCTACTATATTATTACCTTTTCAATAATATTTTCAATATTGTGAACACCTGAAAGAAAAAATTTGTTAGGCAGTAGAAAAACTTGGTGTAGAGTACTAGACTACTTATTGCAGCATTTTTGAAATTAAACAATGGTCATTGAGTAAGATTTTGTTTGCATTTGGCATAGCTTTTTTTAAAAAGCAATGGTAATATTGATCTTCTCTGAACCC